GCACACGGTCCTCACTGTGTTACCCCCTCCCTCAGAGGCCCAGCCCCTCCGGCAGGAAGGTCTGGTCTCTGCAGTCAGTGTGTGCGGGCACCCAGGAGACCAGGGCCTCTGCAGTCAGGGTGTGTGGGCACCCAGGAGACCAGGGCCTCTGCAGTGACTGTGTGTGGGCACCCAGGAGACCAGGGCCTCTGCAGTCAGTGTGTGTGGGCATCCAGGAGACCAGGGCCTCTGCAGTCAGTGTGTGTGGGCACCCAGGAGACCAGGGCCTCTGCAGTCAGGGTGTGCGGGCACCCAGGAGACCAGGGCCTCTGCAGTGACTGTGTGTGGGCACCCAGGAGGCCAGGGCCTCTGCAGTCAGGGTGTGTGGGCACCCAGGAGACCAGGGCCTCTGCAGTGACTGTGTGCGGGCACCCAGGAGACCAGGGCCTCTGCAGTGACTGTGTGGGCACCCAGGAGACCAGGCCCCCTGATGAAGCCCTCCTCAGGGAGAGCCTCACAGAGCCTGTCATCCTCCACCTCCTTCGCAGGATCCCAACCCCTCCACGGGGCCAGCGCTCAGGGAAAACCATCTGTGTCCATTGCACTGGCGTCATGACCGCTTTCCAGCATCGGCTTGGTTTCTGCTGGAAAAACCCCCCGGGAGGAGGGGCTGCCGTCAGCCTCGCTCGGTTCTGCTCCCAGAGCAGGTGCCGGGTTCAACAGGCCGAGGGTGAAGTGCTTGTGGATGAGCAGGTCCCGGGAGAAAGCGGTGGAGACGCGGCCGAGGGCCCAGGCTGGGGCTCTGGGTGGGGCCGACGCTTCTCCCTGCACCTTCCAGTCAGAGCTGCCTCCTGGGCCGGAGCGCACTGGTGGGCCTGGGGGTTTGTGCAGGAGCCATTTCAGAGCAGACAGGGGCTGTGGCAGCCGCAGGAGATGCTGGCTGCCATGGTGATGGGGGTGGGGACTGGCCACGTGACCAGGGGTAAGTCAGGGGGCTCGCTGACCCCCACCACCGCCCTCCGAGGGCAGCGTGTCTGATGCCAGGTGAGACTGCGGGTCCCTCTTCTCGTTGGGCAGCAGTAGGCTTGGAAGCATAGAAGGGTGAAAATATAGAAGAGTGAAAACAGCTCAGGGGAACCCCGACTCCAGGTCACAGTGCAGAGAAACGGGGCTTTGGGAAGAGTCGGGGTTCCAAGTTCCCTTCCTCCAGTGGGGCCACCCTGACGTGGGCAGAAACTCCAGACCCGCAGGTGCTGCCCTGAGATGCAGCGGGTGCCACGGAAAGCCACAGAGCATGGGGCTGGCGGCAGCCGAGTCCCCGTCCTGCCCGCTCGCTAAACCCGGGCCGGACCCAGGAGACCATTTCCAGGCTCAGTCCCCGGAGCCAGGTTCTGGCCGGACTCAGCCACTCCTCCCGGCTCCTCGGGCAAGGCATTCCCGTGTGAGATGTGGCAGTGGGCGGTGTGTCCTGCGGTTTCCCTTGGGCCTCGGGGCGCCCCACTTCCATGGCTGGCTCAGGCCGGCAGCCCCCGCACCCCCACCCTCACTCTGGTGCCAACCTCTTCTTGCCTGTGCTGCCTTCCCTCTGCCCACAGCCTGGGCATCGCTCGCTGCCCTGGGGCGTAAGCCATCTTCCTCCGTGTATTAAACTTTCCGGTGTTACTTTTTGTCTCCATATCCGGGACCCCCCTACCCCCGCCCCAAGGAAAAGTGTATGTTTGTGCTTCTTAGCCTCCTCCGGTTTGTGAGGAACAAAGCAGAGGTCAATGACACCTGTCGGTGACAGCGTATGTGCAGGGGCACAGCCATGGAGACTCGGGTTAGAACAAGTAGGGGTGCATCCCCCCACCGCCCCCATTCCCCACGTGCCCACCTCTTCTCGGTTTTCTGCCCGCGTGTGGCGCCTGTGGGCTTTCCATCTGTGCCCGCGGAGCCCCGGGCAGAGCACCCCGCCCGGCACGGCACCGTCTGGGCGAGGGACAGGCAGCGTGGCTCAGAGCATGTGTGTGACTTCCAAGAACATGTTTCTGGGGAGGAATGGCTCATGAGCTCACTGCTGCATCTGCCAACAAAGGGGCCCAGGGAGCCAGCCACGTCAGCGAGCCCCCGGTCACAGAGAGGCCATGCGTGTCCGCCAGGCACCGCGTGTCCGCCAGGCACCGCGTGTCAGGAAACACCCAGCTCTGAACAGTGGCCTGGCTGTCCTGCCTGCCAGCACCCGCTGACCCACCGGCACCCGCTGACCCACCCGCAAACTCTCCGCGGGCGTGGCACGGGACACAGGGCCATGGAAGCTGCTCATGAGGCCACATCTGTGCCAGGGCTTGTCCTGGCACTCTGCTTTACTCTTCATGAAGTATTTGTGGTGCAGGGGACACAGCCAACAAAACCAAACCCTGCACCCATACCGGGGCTGTCTGCTGGTGAACATAACAGTGTTCAAATGCGCACAGGGTTACAATGCCCACCCCGTGCCTAGTCCTGGGCTGCTGCTCGGATGCTGGTTTGCTCACAGCCCACAGGCCATAAAAGCACACCAATTGGCATTCAGGCACCAAGTATATTGACACACACTTCCTGAGCATGTAAGTGGCAATTGTGACCAGGCAAGTGTGCTTTCCAACTCACCCACCATTAGTGAGTAGCCTATTATTATTATTATTATTATTATTACTACTACTACTACTAGAGGCCCGGTGCATGAAATTCATGCACGGGGGTCGTGTCCCTCAGCCCAGCCTGCACCCTCTCCAATCTGGGACCCCTCAAGGGATGTCCGACTGCCCAACAGGAAGGCAGAAGGGGGCTGGAGACAGGCAGTCCGTGCTGCATGGCGACAGGGAAGACTGTGAGAGAAGGAACCGTCTACACGGAAGGTTCTCTGTTTGAGTTAATACAGCCACTGAGGCTTTCAGGAGAATGTGTTCTGCAAACTCACTCATCAGCAGAGCCAAATATCAACAGGACAACGATTGAAATTTCTTTGGAGAGCCAAATTTTTTAAACTTCAACTTCTTCTAATGCCAATTCTTTAACATAGACTCACTCAGGCTGTGGTATTTTGTAAAAGAGCCACACTCAAGGGGCCAAAGAGCCACAGTTTGCCGACCATGGTTCTAAGGAAACTAGAAAGAAGTTGGCTTTCATTCTGGGCCAAAGCCATTGGCCATAAAGATGGTACGTGTTGAAGAGCCTGGATGGCGAGGGGACTTTCTGGGCCCTGGTGTTGGCGTGAGAGCAGGGGTGGGGGTTCCTATTGTACCTCAGGGCCAAGCAGAGCACCGCCTGGGCTTCTGCAGGGCCCCGCCTTCCCTGTCTGTCTTCTCACATCCGCTGTGAGACTGTGGGCCTGGGAGGGGGGACCCACGTCTTTTCTCCCCGCTCCACATGGGGGTGGTTGGGGAGCGGCTTCCTGTCCCTGCCAGGCCGGCCAGGAGATGGTGGCAGGGATCTGGCCAGTGACACAGCCATCCTCGGTCAGAGCAGGGGTGGGCCCCGGCTCTCCACTGCCCCCAGCATGTCCTCTGGAAGACACCTCAGCAAAGCCTGTGTAAATAATCAGGCCGGATGATGGCGCTCACAGGATCCTAGGACGGCCAGGAGCCAGCGACAACCGAGGCCAAGGTCCCGGGAAATGCGGGGGTGGCTCCTCTGAGCTGGAGAGGAGGCTGGCGGGAAGATCGCCATGGAAACAAGAGAGGGAGTGTGCGGTCAGACAGTGTGGCATATAGGCCTGGTCGGACTTAGCGCTCCCCGCCTGACTGGCATAGGACGGAAAGCACGGTCACTCGGGTTTGAACCGAGGGCACCACGTCTGCACTGAGCTGTCCTGGCTCCATGCACACAGGGACGTTCTCGGAGGGAGACTTTCCTGGTTGCTCTGCAGGTCAGCCAGCCGCCTTGCTGTCCCCTTCCCGCTGAGCTCGCCCCACACCCAGCGCAGCCCTTGCCTGCGGCCCTGAGCCGGGGCTGCGATCGCTCAAATACTAACGGCCCCCCTTGTGAGAACTAACATGCGAGGCTTGTTGGCAAGTAAGATTTTGCGGGGGTGGAGGGGTTGGGGGGGTGGGAGGGGGGAACAACGGGGGAGACCACACAGCTGAGAAAGGACCTCCAGTTAAGGCTGAGGAGACCATCCTAGCCCTGCCTTCCCCTTCCTGTGCCGGCGTCTCCCAGCCAGGCAGCCCCCTGGCCACACCCACCTTCTTGGCCGCCTGGTATGCGCTCTCCTGGCCCACACGCAGGGCAGCTCAGATCTGAAAGCAGAAGGCAAACTGTGTCTAAAGGACAGAGGTACTTCTGTGGTTAAAAACGCATGTGATATGTTCTTTATTAAAATTCTCACGGTTTTTTGTTTTGTTTTTGTTTTTTTGAGAGAAAGAGAGAGAGAGAGAGAGAGAGAGAGAGAAACATTGATCAGCTGCCTCCTGTCCCCACCCTGACCAGGGATTGAACCCATCCCCTTTTGCTGTACAGGACAGCACTCCAGCTGACTAACGTGCTGGCCAGGCTGCCTGGCGCACCGAGGGGAGGGGCTGAGGGGACAGAGGCAGCGCTGCGGCTCCACCCTGTGTCCAGTGGTCGATGAGCGCTCAGGTCTCAGCCATTCCTGCCACTGACCTCACGGTCTCCCGGGTGCCCGCCCAGCTGTACAGCCTGGTGGAGTTGTGCTTTCTAGAGGATGGCTGGGGAGCTGGAGGGGGCGAGGGGCGGGGGTAGCAAACACTGGCCCTTCCCATTGCAGCACAGGAATGCTCGTATTTTTATTCCTTTTATCATGAAGAGAGTACAAAGGCTGGGACAGACACATCACGGGAAAAGAAGATGGTGCCGACTCTGCCAAGGACACCCCTAAACTCACACTGGAGAGGAGTGGGCCCCCAGGGCAGCCTTTTCCATCCAGAAAATCCAGGCGCCTGCGACTCAAAGCCAGTCCCATTTCCCAAAGCAACCTGTGCGCTCCCTGCCCCACCCCATCCTAACCGAGTCCAGCCTCGGGCCTTCCTCTTCTTCCCCCTTCCGTCTGACGGGAGACTGATCCCCGTGCTCCTGGCACTTCTGGGCATGCTGACAGCCTCCTTCCACTTCAGAAAATTTCCAGTCATTTCTTTCAGCTCTACCTTGCCCTCCTGTTCCCAATTCCCTTCCCAGTCCCCTCACCTGGAGCAGGGAGCACAGAGCGGTGCCCTGAACTTCCAGGCTAGTGCGTCCCTCAAGGGGAGGCCTGTCCTCCAAGAGGACACTACTTCCCAACTGCAGAGACCCCTCCCTGCCATCTTCCTCCACCTGCCCTGTGCTCAGCTCCCAGGCCTCAGCCAGGGGGCTCCAGGGACCAGGCTCCCACTCAGGCTGTGCATGCACAGTGTAGGTGCTCAGACCATGAGCACACACACAGTATGTACTTGGGTTGTGTGTGCACACAGTAGGTGCTCAGGCCATGAGCATGCACACCATACATGTAGCCTTCAGGAAAGTGATTGTCAGTCCTATAAAAACAGTCTCATGTTGAGAGTGAGAAATGTGTCTTCATTGTGGGTTTGGTTATAAGTGTGATAGTTGTGAGAAAGGCTTAGCAAGCTGGCGTCGCAGCCGCTGACCAGCTCAGGGGGCAGGAAGAGTACAGGAACCTCCTGGGACCCAACTGGAGTTAACACAGGTGGACACCCTTGGACCTCCAGCCTCTCCCCTTCACCCCGATCTGGTTCGAGGCAAATCTAAACATTTGCAAATTCACAGTCATAGTTGGTCATGCGGCACATTATGAACTTCCACTGGCGGTCCCTGTGGAGAGAGAGAGAGGATGGCGGTGAGAAAGGACTCTGGGAAGGGCGAAAGCCATGACCCCCCGCCTCCCCGCAAGAACAGTTAGGATCGAAGGAACCTCCCTCTCCCTCAGAGGACAGGTCTTAAGCCTCCAGAAGACTGAGGGGGGCGTGGCCTGTGAGGTCAGGAGTCCTGGGCACTTCCTCACCCAGCCCAGCGCCCCTGGAGAACTGATGAGGGGCTGCTATGTGGAGCCTGGTCAGCTCCCACTGCTCCATCCCTAGCAGCTTGGAGCACAGCGTGTGGTAACCGCCCAGATTTCACCTGACAGGGAATCCACCAGCTCCTTTGTTCTTTCTCTGACTGAGTTCTGACCCTGTGGCAGCTCCTTCGGGAAACACGACCAACCATGGACCACGGGGAGTGAAGGCGAGGAGCCCACCCTAACCCCAGAAAGGAAAAGGCAGGGCTGCCTCTGGCCCGGCAGGAATCGGTCGCCTGTTTGCTAAGAGGGCGGGTTGGGTGTGAGAGTTCAGAGACTCACTCAGCCTCGGCCAGCGTGGAGTGGAGGCAGTGGCCATTTAGTAGCCCCAATCTAGTTCTGATCTAGCAATTTTAAATGGGATTCCTCCTCACTGTGATTCCCCTGCCTTTTATACAGGGACTCAGAGCTAATCTTCTTGTGGACGTGGGTATTGTTAAAGACACTGAGCACCCCGCTCTCCGGTTACCCAGTTGCCCTTCAGGGCTACACAGCCAGCTGAACGGCACCAGCTCCTGTGGTCATTGAATTCTGTGGTCTTTCCTTCTCTTAGGTGAGTGCATTTGAGACTGTGTGTGTGTGTGTGTGTGCGTGTGCGTGTGCATGTGTGTGCATGTGTGTGTGTGTGTGTGTGTGTGTGTGTGTGTGTGGTGTGACATCATTCAGCTGTTTCTCCTCCCTCTAAAGCAACTTTCATTCTAAGTATTTTAAGTATTATCTTCCCTGTTCATTTTTGAATTTGCTGCTTCTAGAAAATAGGTGACTTAACTAGTTAAAATGTATCTAAAATAAAAATTATCCCAACTGAGAACTGAGGGTTCTCTCATGGGTAATATGAATGTGTTTGTTCAGGAAGCCTCTTTAGAGCTAATTAACGTTTACTTTTTGGTTTGTTTTTGTTTTTTTTACATTTGTGGACCTTATTGATTGAGTGCACTTCAGTGAGGTGAGATGTCATTTCATTTATGAACGTAAATATACACAGAAGGCAAGTCTCACCCAGATCCATCACCGTCCACAATCTACTGAGCCGACAGAAGCTTTGTTCTCTTTGCAAAGCGTGCTCTGGTAACGCTTCAGGAACTTGTTTGCTGGGTGAACTGGTTCTCACCTGCCTAGAGGTAGGTCACATCTACCTGTCAATGCCTGCATTTACCCACACCCCTCTCCGCATTAGGAGGGAGGAGAATCCTTATTCTCTGCTTGTTGTGTTGCCTTGATGTGTTTAGGTGGACTGGGGAGCTGACTGTGAGAGAAAGGGGGTGAAAAGTTACTGACTTTTGTGTTATTAAAACTTCCCTCTTACATTTCTAAATAGGCTGGTGGGTCTCCAGCCCCTCCCCTCGGTTTCCCCACAGCGCCAAGGGGTCGTGCGGAGAACCGGTGCTGAGAGGTACCCCTCCCACCGTGGCTGCCCTCTCCTGCTGACGTTTGGAAGAAGTACCTTTTGAAACGGAGTGAAGGGAAGAGCTTAGAGCATCATGGGCTACCAGGAGGAGACGTTCCGCCCCGGAGCAGGCTGGACCCCTCATGGCTCCACTCAATGCATTTGTGAGAAGTCAGTTCCCAGCACCCCCCATCCCCCAGCTTGCTCAGGTCTCTCCTAAATCCCGGACCAAGTGGGAAGCCACAACAGTGAGGACCCAGCTCGGACGTCCTGCAGCCAGGGTCCTGGCACGGAGCTCGAGCCGCTCCTCGAACCCCTGGCCAGGGGGGAGCTCACCTTTCCACTGCGGAGAAGGTGGTGGTGGCTCCGCGCATATAGTAATCGTAGCTGTAGGACACCATGTCCATGTCCTCGCCGTAGTGGCCGGGGTACTCCGTGGTCATCCTGCGGGGAGGAGAGGAGGTGAGAGGGAAAGATGGGATTGTGGGCCACGGGCAGGCTGTGCGGAGGGCAGCCTGTGGGCCTGAAGCCCGGCCCAAGGTGGATGGTAGCTTAGCAGACGGCCCAGGTTGTGAGCAAAGAGGAAACACTCCACTCTCACCTCCTTCTTCCTGCCCTGAGGCTAGCCGCTGAGAAAGAAGCCGACAACTCCTTAGGCCTTGCAGAAATATTAATATCAACATTAGTTCATCCCATTCAAGTCAACTAGAACCATGTTTTCAAACCGCAGAGTGACTCATTAGGGATCATGAAATCAATGCAATTGGTAATTGCCAAATTTCCTTTATGAAAGGACAAATAGAATAGGAAACATCAGTGAATTCACTGCATACACGAAGGATAAGTTCTTGGGTATATGTGTAAAAACTTTGTTTCAAATGTGTGTGTGTGTGTGTGTGTTTAAAGTATTTCTATTGATGTCAGAGAGGAAGGGAGAGAGAGAGAGAAAGAGAAACATCAATGATGAGAGAGAATCATTGATCGGCTGCCTCCTGCACTCCCCACACAGAGGATCAAGCCAGCAACCCAGCATGTGCCCTGACCGGGAATCAAAGCATGACCTCCTGGTTCCTAAGTCAATGCTCAACCACCGAGCTACACTGGCCAGGCTGTATGTGTATGTTTTATGATGTGTGTTGTGTGGTGGTTTAAATCTATGATGTGTGTTTTATGATGTATGTGTTATGTGGTGGTTTAAATGTATGATGTGTGTGTTTTTGATGTATGTACTGTGTGGTGCTTTAATCTGTATCTGTTACTGTGAGTCGCAATAAAAAGGTGCTTGGAAAAGTGAAAGGAGAGGTGAGCTCCCGGTGGTGGCTGCCTTGGCCATGGCTGGAGCCCCCTGGCCACGCGGCTCACAGTGCGCAACAGCCGTGGGCTCGCCCTGGCCCCACGCCAGCCACGGCCACACCCTCCACTGACCCCGTGGCGGGAAACTGGAGCACACTCGTCACCAATACCATGGACCCCACCTGCTCACACATTAACAAGACAGAATGGGGTACCGGGTAGTCGCCCTGCAGCTCCTGCAAAACAGGAGTGAGCCGAGAGCTCCCTAGCCTGCGTCAGGCTAGGCCTCAGGGGCACCCCGTTGCCCCACTTCCCAGTCAGCACTGTATATCAGACGACCCATTCTAATGTTGGTGACATGCCGGCATCATCTCGTTCACTTTTGGCTAAAAACGCAGCATCCTGTGTGGCACCTGGCTTTGTGATGCTGGCCCATGAGAGAGCTCCCGGAGGGGCATCTGGGTGCACGGGCGCTGGGCAGCATGCACACCTGTGACTCACTCAGTGCTGGCCATGGGGGTGGAGGGGATGGTGGGCAGCTGGTGGAATCGAGGTGCTGAATCGTTGGCCTGCATTCTCCTCCGGGCCACAGAGAGAATGGCGCTTTCTGACAGGCGGATTGCCGAGAAGTTTCTGCACAAACCAAGCCTTTGTGATCCTTAAGCACCTGCTCTCCCAGGTAAGCTACAGGGCATGCCCAAGCTTCAGGTTAGCCTGCAGGCACTGCATCAGAGCTGTCAGAATTATCCTTACAATGATGAGACACTATCCCCCAGATGCAGTGACACACAGAGGAGAGCCCTCCAAGGGGACAGCCAGCATGGCTTCCCCCCAGAGAGCCAGCGAAGCTGCCAAATGGGGCTGAATGGCCAGCATTTGCCGCCGCCAAAGTGCCCTTCCCTGCAGAGAGACCCTGTCCCCCCCACCCCCTGCTCCGAGGGTGTGAGAACGCAGGCCTGTGTTCACATCTTCCTGGTGCGGCCTTCTGGAGATTTACATTTCAGCTCCATGGTGTATCCCAGCTCAGGGAGACCAGCTCCAGAGACACTGAGGCTCACCCTGGCAGAGGAGAGTCCCTGAGTTCTTTCCAAATTGCAGTCTTGGCACGGAACACCCAGCTCACCGCCCACGCCCATGCCGATCAGCAAGCACAGTTGTTTGGACTCCGCTTGGCTTTCATCAGTCCCATCCATCTTGGTCTCCCTGGTTTTGATCTTGGCGGGGACAATGCCCCTCCCTCTCCTCTCCGGCTAACGTAACTGCTCTCCTCCCTGTTTTCACAGGAGATGCTGGCTGGGTTGTCACCCACCACCTCCTCTAGGCTGGTCTCCCATCGAGATTGGGAGAGCTCAGTGCTGTGCACAGAGCGTAGGGTTTGGAGGCAGCTGGGCCTGTGTGGATTGAGTTGGGAACCGTGAACAAGTCATTGTGCACATAGCTCCCTCTGTGTGTCATGCATGTTCTATATGACGCTCTGTTACAGTGTCGTCATTTCTGTGTGAGAAGTGAATGAGCTAACCCAGTGGTTGGCAAACTCATTAGTCAATAGAGCCAAATATCAACAGTATAACGATTGAAATTTCTTTTGAGAACCAAATTTCTTTAAGTTCTTCTAACACCATTTCTTCAAAATAGACCCTCCCAGGCCATGGTATTTTGTAGAAGAGCCACACTCAAGGGGCCAAAGAGCCACATGTGGCTCCAGAGCTGCAGTTTGCCAACCACAGAGCTAACATGAGCTTGGGGTAAATGCTCAATAAATAGAAGTTATCATTTTTATTGGGAACTGACTCAAAGTCTATGAATTGTGGTTATTTTGAATCCATTCCCTGGCTGACACAATGAATCAATGAGTGGTCGAATGAGTGATCGCCTCTAGAATCCAGTAAAGGGGATACGAGAGGACCACGGTTGGTGTGAAGAACGGATTTGGCCTGTAACTGCGGTTTGCTTTGTTCTCAGTGGCTGGGGGGGCCAGGCCTCTGGTTACACAATACTTTCTGAAATGCCTGCTCTGCAGAGCTGAGTGCAGGGAGGGAGGCATCACTGATACACATACGCAGACAGCCAATTGCCTCGTAAATAATAAATATGGCACCATTAACGGGACAGCCACTCGGACCGATGAAAGGGACAATTGGTTCTGCTCAAGCTCAGGGGTGCTGTTGCTATCTCCCCCACCCCCCCAACCCCCCCAAAAATGAGAATCTACACTCAATGCAAACTGCCTGCAAATGTAGCATCCAATCCTGCTTTCCCAAAGCCTGGGCCTCTCATCTCCACACTAACAGCCTCCGCTCGCTCAGAGGACCCAGCGAGGCCTCCGGGCTTCCCAGCAGCCTCTGGGCTTCCCAGCAGCCTCTGGGAGTGCACAGCAGGCGCCTGAGTGGGGAGAGTCAGCAGCCAGCAGGTGCCGGCAGGTGGCTCTCCTCCTGCCAGGGTTCCGCGGGGAAAGGCCGGGCAAACACCCCCGTCTGTGTTACAGCCTGAGCAGCGGAGCGGCAGTTAGAGATCCGCTTCGATCCGGGGCTGGGGGTGGACAGAGAAGAAGGATGTTCCGGTTTGTTGTCTCGAGGTGAGCTGAGCGATCTGGGAACTACGATCTGGGAACTACGTGACTTCAGCGCATGGGAGAGAGAGAGGAGCTGGGCGTAGAGAAGGCAGCGTAGGGAGTCCGAGGATCTCAGGCGGAGGGAGGAATGGAAGTCGGCTGTTTGATTCTGAGGACAGGCATCACTTTCTGGGTCACAACCTGTTACCTAATGAGCCAAACGGAAGGCCTTGGATCCGAAAAAGCCCTTAGAATAGAAAATGGATGCTCAGCCCCAGCCAGTTTGGCTCAGTGGATAGAGCGTTGGCCTGCGGACTGAAGGGTCCCAGGTTGGAGTCCAGTCCAGGGCATGTGCCAGCGCTGCAGCTCCATCCTCAGTGTAGGGTAGGGGTGTCGAACTCAATCAGAGAAGGGGCCAAAATCTAAAATCCAGCCTAAATCGCGGGCCGAATGGTTTACTGAACAGTCATAAACTGTCATTGTGATGGAAACACAGCGGAGTGCAGTGATGACAGCGCGGTGCGGGCCACATTGCAAGGCCTGGCGGGACGGATTTGGCCCGAGGGCCTTGTGTTTGACACATGTGGTGTAGGGGGTACAGCAGGCAGCCCATTAATGATTCTCAATCATCATTGATGTTTCTCTCTTCCTCTCCCTTCCTCTCTGAAATCAATAAAAATATATTTTAAAAAGAAAAAAAATCAATGCTCACTGAAATGATGAGATTCTGGCCCCCAGAGGGCTCTGCCTGGACAGCCTTGGCAGGTGGGGGTTGGATTGGGGGTGGGGGTGGGGGTGGGGGCGCTCACGCGGTGGCTGGTGCTGCATGGAGATTGGAAGTGCTCACACGCGTTCTCTGAAGTCTGTGGCTTCCTCAGCTGTGACATGTGTTTATGGTTTGCCGATGACTGGCTGGGCTAAGAATGTGAATTCTCATGCATGAACACTAAAATCGGCACGTGTCCAAGCCGGTGGGGCTGCGGGTGACGGCGTGTCCGCATCTATCAGGAATTCGCCTTCTCGCCAGAGAGCAGCGAGGCTGCCGCGTCTGGAGAAACGGCACCCACCGGAGTGAGCACAGGGCCGGGTCCCACCAGGCCAGTGACACGGGCTGGCTGCGGGCTCACTCGCTGCTGCTGACCCCCGATGCCCCAGCGAAGACACAGGCTCCCTCAGCCAGCGCCCAGCACTGAGGGCTCCGGCTACAGGGGAGCTTCTCGGGGAGAGAGAAACGTGCCAGGTCCCTGGCAGGTCACCACCGCCAGCGAGCGGGCGAGAGGGGCGCTTTCACACGGGAGGAGAGGCTTGTGGGCAGTCTCACTCTGGGAAGTGTGGGAAAACGGTTCACACTCAGGAGGGTTGTCAGAGAGTCAGAGAAAGCAGTGCCGGTGAAAGAAATCCTTTCCAGTACAAAGCAACACCGCATCCGTGTCAGGGTCACCATGGTTACCGTTCCTAGGAAACTGCCGCAGGCTTACTCACTGCAGACATTTACGAAGGGTCTGCTGTGGGCCAGCAGCACGCTGAGGTGCTGGAGAAACAAGGCCTCATGGATGCTGGGGGCCACGTTCATTAGAAAGACGCGTAACGCCGGACTCGGCTGTCTGAGAGGCCCTGAAATGTCTAGACACCCAGAGGTGCTGCACACAGGTGCCGCTGCAACCCGTTCCGTGGCTCCTCCCAGCTGCCCTGTGATGAAGCACCGTTCTCCTTGGTAACCATGGCAGCGTCCATCTCTAACACCCATGCCCAGGAGAGAGGCAATGGGGGAGCCGTCCTGGAGTGGGACATGCTGCAAAGGGGCTTTCCTGCCTTTCTAAGCGGTTCTGTCCCCCTTTCCCCTCTGCCCCGGCCCATCCTCTGGTTCTTGACCATTCGGGCCTGCCTGGGCAGTGGGGCAGGCTGGCCAAGGCTGGGAGGGGTGAGGGTGGGGTGGGCATGCCAAAGGCCAGTATTGTCACCTGAGCCTCAGGAACCTCAGGAAAGCTGCTCACCCTCCGCCAGCCGGTGAGCCAGGGCTGTTTCCGAGCACAGAGCTCCGTGTTCGTCTGGCCTTAGTCCTCAGCGTCTTGCTTGGTGGGCTGTCGTGGGGGAACCTGACAAGTGGTCTCTAAAGGGATCCTGAGCCTGGGGCATCCTGGGAAAGTCAGGAATGTGGAGGCACAAAGACCTGGGAGTCTTTTAGGCTCCGAGCCAAACACACAGGAGAAGCTCAAGGCAGTGGTGCTGGGGGTGGGGACACGGATCACAGAAGCAACAGAATGCAGCGCTCTGGGTGTGGTGTGCGGACAGCTCCCCTTCCCCCCCTCTCGGCTCCATTCACCCCCACACCGAGCCTGACAACTTTCCTAACACCCTGAGCCTGGGTCCGGCACGCCGCATCTCTGAAGCCTCGGCCTGAATCCACGCCCCGTGTTCTCTCCTGGGCCAGGGGCCCGTGGCCAGCCAATGACAGTGCGATGCCCCCAGGGGGCTGCTCTCCCCTGGGTCTGGGCAGAGGCCTCAGGCCTCGCAGCCATGACCGTGCAGCTGCCCCAGCCCCCTCCTCTACCTGGGAGGTGTCAGGACACCCCACCACACTGTCCAGTGGACGGCTCCTCGTTCCTCTGTACAACCAGCTCGTCACTGGCTTTGCTTCCTGCAAGGTCGTCTGACCCCTCACAGGCCTGTAAGGAGGTGAGGAGCAGGCTCTCACAGAGCTGGGAGGGAGGGGCCTCGGCTGCCAGACAGGCCAGCACTGTACCCTCCAAGCCAGGGGCCAAGGCTGCCAGACAGGCCGGCGCTGCATTCCCTTAGCCAGGGGCAGCACCAGGCAGATGGCTCTCATTTCATCCCCACCACAACACTGGGAGCAGGCTGAAGTCACTCACCCACTCACTCACAGATGCTGCGTGCCTACTGTGTGCCTGCACCACTCAGGGACTCTGCTTGTGCGACTAGGGCTAAAGGGGTGGGGAGGCAGACTTCACAAGTAAATGCTGCATTTCAGGTCTCTCCACCTTATTCTGCACCCCCTCTCCTCCCCTCCCCCGAAGCACCGGCTCCAACATCCGTCCGATGCTTACTGAGCAGACCCCGCGCTCTGGCGCTGGTTAGGCACCGCGGACATGATCAAGGTCCGTGTCCTCCAAAGCGCCCAGTGCAGTGGGCAGCACCTGCCCACGCCCTCGGAGGGAGTGCGCTCAGTGGAGGCCCAGGCGCCCAGTGGGGGCCGCGGACAGGCCCCACCCCAGCCCTCTGCTGCCCCGGGCGTCCCTGCCTCCCTCTAGGCAGACTTCTCTTTCACCCCGTTCTCATCCTCCCAGAACACGCCCCCGGGACAGCCCCGGGGGCCCAGCCCTGTGGTTCCTTTGGAGCCACGGAAGGGTGGGTCTGCCCAGTGTGGTGATGGATGAACCGACAGGGTGATGGATGAGCTGACTGGGTGCTCCTTTGTGTCTCACTCTCCCAGACACGTTGTTTACATGCAAACTGTGCGTGGCGCCTGGTAACAGAGGGAGGCTGACCTTCCTGAGGGAGGCCAGCTGCTAGCCTAGCCCCGCGGGGCAGGGGAGAGAAGGTTCCGGAAGTCCTATCCACTGAGGTCACAGGCTCTCCTCCCCCTTCTTACAGGCAGGCTGGGCGTCTGGCCTGCCCTGGGGTTCACCTTTGTGGCTTTGGGGTTGCGACATTTTAGGGCGCCAGACAGCCTCCACGGTCTCTAGTCCCAGGTGTCAGCGTGGGCCCGAGCGTGCCCGGAAGCTCTGTGAGCGAGTGTGAGCGTGCTCGGTGCCTTCCCTTCCTCCTGATTCTTATGGCCAGACAGGTGGCCGCCATCCTAAGTGACGGACTTGAGCCCCTTAGAAAGGAAAGGGTCTTCCTGGAGATGAGCCAGGTACGAGGGGAGAGGAGGAAGGGGGAGGAGGAGAGGGAGAGGAGGGGCCCAGGCTCAGTGGCACCCCTGCCACTGTACTCGCCTCAGGAAACCCCTGTCTCTGATACAGGACGTCTGTCTTTGATTGGCAGTTCCAGCCTATACCCGGCCTCCCCATGGAGCACCTCGGAGAGCTGGAGACGGCCTCTCTCCATCACCCAGCCACTCCATCACCAGCACTGCCTCCGCTGCCGCGGGCTCGGAACTTTCCAGAAACACGCTCAGCTTTGGGGGCTGCCTGTGCTCGGGACAGTGTGTCCCTGGGACCCTGGAGCCAGGCGGCCTGGTCTCAGAGAATATGCACAGCCCGCGAGGCTGCCCTTGGAGACCTCACCGCGTAGAGACAGACCATTGTGAGAGCCACCTGCCAAGCTGACGGCGACTCCCCTGTCCCAGGCAGCCAATGCCTGGTGTCTGCACAAGGGAGGCCTGGGGCAAAGTGTGCTTCAACACCCAGGGTGGTTATCAGGGAATTAATTACATGCACAGCCTTCTCCCCGCAGGCAGCGTGGCGCTGGCATGGACATTGGCGTTAGCCCGGGGAACGAGAGGGAACAAAGCCTCAGACTGGGATTGCAGATTGATCTAGAAAACAGAGCCTCTTTATGGGTGTCTGTAATTATGTCCATGTTTGCAGGTCTGACCTGTGATCAGCAGAAAAAGCTCGGCTCTCAGTCCGGTCCACAGCCTCTGCCTGATGGGAAGTCTGTGTGATGGAGGGAGGGGCACTGGGGCAAAGGTCACGCCTCTCCCTCTCCCCACAGAGGCCCCCAGGCAGCAGCCAGGTGACTTCCTTGCTCTATTGTTCTGTCTGTATCCTCTCTCTCTTTCTTTCTTTCTTTCTTTCTTCTTTCTTTCTTTCTTTCTTTCTTTTCTTTCTTTCTTTCTTTCTTCTTTCTTTCTTTCTTTCTTTCTTTCTTTCTTTCTTTCTTTCTTTCTTTCTTTCTTTCTTCCTTCCTTCCTTCCTTCCTTCCTTCCTTCCTTCCTTCCTTCCTTCCTTCCTTCCTTCTTTCTTCTCTCTCTCTCTCTCTCTCTCTCTCTCTCGCTCTCGCTCTCGCTCTCGCTCTCGCTCTCGCTCTCGCTCTCGCTCTTTCTTTTTTTATTTTTGACCAAAAGAAAGTTGTGGGAGTTTTGGGTGGATGACCTGTGAGGCCCCTCCCAGTGTGAACGTTCTTCCAGCCTTTTCATTGGTTGGTTGGTTGGTTGATTGGTTCATTCATTCACTCATTCACCCATCCATCCATTCACCCATCCACCCACTCATCCATCCTCTATGCTAGCTGCTGCATCTGAAGTCTATTATGCCGGGCCTATCTGAAGGCAGAGCCTGGAGCAGAGCACGCCTCCCCCCTCGCTCCCCCCTGCTCCTCAAGCCCCGTGAGTCGGGAGGGCTGCATTGGGCCCAGCTCACCAGCAGGAATAGGGACACCTCTTGCTGTAGCGACAGCAGTAGAACTGCCACTCCCGATCCAGCACTGACTCGAAGTAGCGGCTCTGGAAGCCGGCCACCAGCCCGTTGTTGGAGCAGGTCTGGTACCTGGAGAGAAGGAAAACCCGGTGAACCAGTGACAGTGCCACGCCAGCAGCCCTTCTAGGCCGGCTCCCACCGAGGCCCAGCCAGCCGCTCTCTCACTGACCTGGATCCCTGACAATGCATTCCATGTTTACGCAAACAATAAAGAACCTTTGCTGAATTTGTAGAAATGACATATGCTCACCATTAAAATTCAAATGATTCAGACTCTTTCAACCGAAGGAAATTGGGGAACACAGCCCCTGATAGCCCTCAGTGAACACATTGTGAGGTGGAAGAATGCATACATGGGCGAATGTGGAGGCATCTAGAATTTACAAATGCAAGACTGTCTTATTATTCGTGCCATTTAAAGTAGAAGATAATGAACTTATTTTTGCTTGAGTGTAAAATAAAAGAAGAAAAGAGAAAGGCAGAGAATGATGACCTTCACATGACCTTTCCTTCTGCTCAGCAGCAGAGCCTGGAGCACAGGGCGCCCCTTCCCTGGAGAGGGCCGGGCAGGGGCAGCCCATGGGGAGCTGGGAACACACACACCCCGGGGGCTCTTCCTTACCCAGGAGTTCCCTCGCTACCAACAATGGGAGTCTGAGTCTTCACAGAAGTCAGTCACCCTGCTCCCCGTTCACAGCCCTCCCTGCGGCCCAGGCATCTCACCGCACTGCCTGGGGCGGGGCTGCAGGTCTAGGACTGGGCCCAGGGTCTGCACAGCCCCTTCCTGACTCAGCACTAGCCTCCAGGGTGCTCACCTCTTCTCTCCCTTCGTCTCCCAAGCTGCCCTCTCCTCTCCTGCCCGATCCCAGCTGGCCGCTCTTTCCAGCTCTTTCCATGGGAAGAGGGTGCTGCTCTCAGAGCCTCGGGGACCCGCCCACCTGCCATGGCCTGGCTGACCACTGCTAGAATGCAGCCCTGTTTCCCAAGTTCAGTTTCCAGAAAATATCGCAGGTAAAGGAAGAGGTGCTTGTGCTGATAGGTGGAAGGTGCCTGGCGGACACACAGATGTGTGTGAAGCCATTGACAAACCTGGACATTGACTATATTTCCTGTCCCTGGCCAGCAAGCACCTGTCCTGTTCCTCCATGTGTTGTTCGTCTGTTCATCCATCCACCTATACCTTCACATATGCATGGAACCGTCCGTCCTTCCCTCCTCAGCACACGCGTTCTGGCTGCTCTCTAGCGGTCGCTGTGCTTTTGTGCTGAGAGAAGAGAGGGAGGGCCTGGTCCTCGGTGCCCATGAGCCTGGATGTCAGGGAGCTCAGCTCTAGATCCACATCTCGAATCAGGGTGTGCACAGCCCCCTGCCCTCTGTGATCTGGTCTCATTTACGCTTCCATCGCTCACATCCCTCAGGAGTATCTCCCCTGCTCCGAAGGGGCTGTGGGGGCCGGACAATGGGGCAGTGGTCTGTTCGGGCCCTGTTCCAGCAGCGAGTGAGGGGGAGGCTGGTACACAGCTCTCAGAGTGTCTGAGGGGAGCAGGTGCACAAACTGTGACCTCCCTCCCCGTCCTGCGGTCCCACTGTCCCTGCAGTCCTCCCTCACTGCAGTCCCCCCTTCCTGCAGTTCCCCCATCCCAGCAGTCCCACCCCCTCTGGCATGGGTAAGAGCCCCGCTCCCTTCTCCACGTCCAGGCTTTCAGTCTGCTGCCTGTCTACCAGGTTTCAAGACGGGGAAGCAGGAGTCACCTGGGCGGAGGGACATAGAGCGGGGTGAGAGACATATAGATCCTCCCTGGCACCAGCTCAGCCCCATAACACATGGAGGCTACCAAAGGCCCCGGGAGACCCAGATGGTCTTGGGAGAGGCACTTAAGTCCCGAGAGAATCCTAGGCCGTGCAGGGTCCCAGGCTCGGCAGCTGGAGCTCCGGGGCATCAATTGGTCCCACCTTTGTTGAAACCAAGAGGTGTCGCCCACTTCGGTGTCTCCTGAAGGTATGAGAGCTGCTCAGGGCACTCCTACTGCACACGCAGTATCTCTAGATTGTAACCGGACTGTCTGCTCCCCAAACAAAATACTACACACCAGGCGTGGATAACCTAGCCATTTGTATTCACCTCAGCTTTATGATTTCCCAGCACTGTCCTAGGCGTCTCTTCGAATTTCAGTTCCCACAGTGTAGTCATACTAGAGGGTCAGCAACTTCACCAAGAACTCACATGTGCCAGGCCCTGTCTGTACATTATTTTCACCAACAAAACAGAGAGTCCATGCTCCCCGCCCAGCACCGTTTGGTGCTCAGGACACGTGGGTTCGGAGAGGCCGGGGAAGTGCCTGGAGGACACGGAGCAGTGATGGGTATCCGTCACCTCCTCTAACCTCACAGCCCGGGCCTGGTCTGTGCAGAAGCAGCAGCTAGAGTTGACATGTCTTGCCTACAGGGAGTAGTTGGGCTGCCTTTTGGGAATTGCTTTGTTTGACTCCAAAATTCATAATCTTTTAATTATTTCAGTAAACTGCAAAGAAACACACACACACACACACACACACACACACACACGCACACACAGAGGTATGGTGGCTCTGGCAGTCCCTTACTGACTGGGAAGACTGTCTGACAAGCACCCAGACGGGAACAAATCCTGTTCCGGAGCCATGAACCTCATCTGTCCTTGAGGGCTCAGCCAGGACCCCTATTTGTGGAGCTCCCGGCAACTGATTGCTGTCCTCCGGGGAGGGATGTTGAGGGGAAGCTGGCTGCTCTCTGCCACTCAGCCTCCTGGCCCTCAGGGGTCACCCCAAGAGCATGTGATGCTTTCTTTAGCGCTGCACCCACTGTGGGACCCAAGAATAACAATCTCTGCCCTCAGCCTAGTGCCCCAGCTGCCGGCCTGGGCTCCGCCACGGTCACGCTGTGAGCAGGCGAGCCCGAACACTTCCGAGCCACAGCCCCTTGCTCCTCGTACCAAACACACAGAAAACAGCAGTGCCTGTCCCTCCTCCCCCCAGGACTGCTGCGAAGATCAAATGTGATTCGACTTTGAGTGACTCTGCAGAGACTATGTCCCTCAGGGTCACTTCCCTGGCTCTAGCAGTTTGAGATAATAAACATCTGGGCATGAACGAAGGAGCAGAGGAAGGTGTGCAGGAGGAATGTTTAATGACTCTGAAGCACCACAGCATTCTGCTGGTTTTCCAAAGGCTGCCCCTCTTGGCCTTACATCCTGGTCTATGGGGAAAGGGCCTTGTTCTGGGGTGAATTGGAACCCCCTGACACCCCTCCCCCAGTGTGGAGCCTGATTCTGTGATGCTCTGTTTGCATTAACTCCCAATATGCACCCACCGCTGGCATCCTGTTCGCTTTTAATCCTTTCGTTTCAGAAAAGTTACGGTTCCCAGAAGCTGCGTGAAGGTCATACAGGACCTGTGAACCACCCCCTGGATTCCTGTGGAGTCCGCCTTCACAGCTCGAGCACCTGCATGCACCCTCAGGACTTAACATGGACACCACTGAGCCCAGGCTGGAATTAGACCCACTGGTTTTCTCACCAACTCCCCTTCTGCTCCTGGATACACACCAGGACACCACAGGACACTTACCCCTTATGATCCTAGCTAGTGAAAAGGGAATATGCTAATTGTCTACCCTGCCCTCAAAGATGGCATTGCCTACAGCCAATAAGGAGGGAATATGCTAATTGACTGTCACACCCTCAAAGATGGTGATGCCCACAGCCACAAGATGGCGGTGCCCAGTTCCCTTAGCCCACCAGGGCAGCCTTGCCATGTGCCTGCCTCTGGAGTCCTCAGTCCCTTTAGCCTCCCAATTGCCCAGAGCTGGCCCAAGGCTCAGGTAAGCCTCAGATGTCAGCTGCCCAGCTGCCCAGGACTGCCTGAGGCTCAGGTAACCAGGGCCAGCTGAGGCTTGCACTGCTGGCAGTGGCAGCAGCAGAGGTGTGATAGGGTGTTGTCTTCTCCTGATTGCCAGTGGTCTCCCGCTCCTAAGGGCTCCCAGACTGTGAGTTCCTCTAGTGTATGAAGTTTCATGTACTGGGCCTTTAGTTTTGAAACAAGAGGTTTACTAGTGGATTTTAAGCTCATTGAGACAGTGAGATTTCAAGGATCAAGAAACCTAATAACACTATACCAGCCATGCTCTGTGCACAGTTCAGAGGCTCAGGGGGGTCTAAGAAGCACACCCTACCCAGAGGCAAATGCAACGATCAAGAGTGAGGTGTGAGATGTGAGCATGAAGCTGAGCCCACGTTACAGACACTGGAACCCCGAGAGCAAAGGCACAGCAAAGTGGTGTCCCCACAGGAGGATGGCAGGATGGGACCCCCTGAAGCTCCCGCTGGCCTGGCCTAGTCTTCCCTGTGCACTTGGGGGACCCCTATGAGCTGGCATTACCCTAGGCACCAGGGAGTATCCATACGCGGCGAAGGAGACAGAATTCCTAACTTCACGAGGCTTCTGTGTGGAAGGAGACAAACAGCATACAAAACCAAGAAGGAGCTGAAATTGGTTTGGCTCAATGGATAGAGCGTCGGCCTGTGAACTGAAAGGTCCCAGGTTCAATTCCTTGTCAAGGGCATGTACCTTGGTTATGGGCATGTCCCCAGTTAGGGGGTGTGCAAGAGGCAGCTGATCAATGTTTCTCCCTCATCGATGTTTGTTTCTAACTCTCTATCCCTCTCTCTTCCTCTCTGTGAAAAAATCAATAAAAAATATATTAAAAAAACAAAAACAAGCAGGAAGTAACAGGGGCGCCCCAGGAAACATCGAGCAGGTTGTGGGGCGTTGAGAGGAGGTGGCCTGCATGGAGGGCACCTGTGTGCGGAACCCTGAATCAGGACTGTCGCTCCGCCTACACCTCGTCTGGGTCTCAGAGCTGCCATTGAATTGCCTCTGGCGATTCTCCGAAGCCTGGGGGACCGGGGTGCCTTCAGACAGGACGGGGTCCCCCTGATCCGATTGCTGAGTGCGTGGCAGCTGCTGGGCCCAGTCAGCCTCCTCCAGTCCCAGTTCCTTAAGCCTGTCTTCCCGCCCGCCCGTGAGGGCCAGGCATCTGATTCATTCATTCATTCCTTTATTTTTATTCAATATTTACCAATTTCTCTGGAGCAGATACCTGGTAGAGTGGATACTTGTGAGTGGTTTCTACAGCATTCATAGTGCTTGGCTTCAGCCTTGAAAACAAAAGGAAATTGAACTATCTCCTTTTAAATTGAATTTATTGGGGTGACATCTATATGACTGACCATACGTATGACCAACCAACCCACAGGCCAGTTCATATGATGCGCAATGGCAATTTAGAAATAAATGTTGACTTACGCATCCATGATACCTATAAAGCTCTCGCTGGTGCCAATCACATGTGTGTTTAAATTTCATAATTCTAATTATGTATACTATTTGACATGCAATTTTTTGCAGTAATTACTGCACGAATCTTTCTTCTAATTAATTTCCTTTCAATGTGCATGAATCCATGCACTGGGTCACTAGTTGGTTAATAAAACCATATCAGTTTCAGGGTGCTAGTCTCTAACACATCACCTGCATATTATACTGTATGTACACCGCCTTAAGTCCCCTTGCACCACCATTTACTGCCCCTGCATGGGCATTTATAATAGTTTAGATCTGGTTGATTTAGAGCTCTGCTCTTTTTCCTGTGAGCTACCCGGGAGCAGCCTAACAGCTTCTTAAGTGGTGCCACACCTTTCCTGTTTTCCTTGAAGGAGGAGCCACATGCCCATGGCTACGGAGCCACGTGGTGCTGGAAACGGGGGCTGTGAAGCCAGGTTTCCTGATTCTAACACCAGAGTTTAACCTCCTAGAAAATTCCAGCCCCCTCTTGTTGCACTCGGGTCCACATGTCCCACAGCCTACCAGACAATTGCCGAGGCACGTCTGGGACCTAGGAAAGCCTCCTGGCCACGTCAGAGCTGAGCAGCCTGCACACTTCAGGATTCTGTCTCAGCGGAGCTGCTGAGGCAAGTAGCTGCGTGGACCCTCAGCCACGTGGTTCCCTCAGCCTTGTAAGCCCCTCAGCCTTGTGGGCTTCTCAGCCTCATGGGCCCCTGAACCACGTGGGCCCTCAGCTTCCTGGACCCTCAGCCGTGGTAGGAGCACTGTTAGAAGCCCTGCCCACTCAGCCAGTGTCCTCAGCAAACCCCGTGCACTGTCGTCCAGCTGAGAAAAGAGCTGTCAGACTGCTGATCCCAGAGGACTCCCTGAGCTTTGTTCAGCCCTGGAAACGCACTTGGGTTTTTCTTGCAGGATTTTGAGACTCCTCTCCCCTCTTAACAGAAGCCCGCAGGCTGAGTTAGTTATATGATGTCACCATATTGCACAGGACCGTCCGTCCGCTCTCCCCCCACAACACATTACGAGCCTGGACTGGAGAGGTCATTGCTTCCCAGCCACCGAGCAGTTCCTTCCCGCCAGACTTTATACTGAGACCGGAGTCTGAAGTCAAAGCCATGATTATCTGAGGAAGGAAGCCTGTGGGTGAGGGGTGTCCGTCTAGAGAGGCTGTTTCATGTTTGTACATTCTGTGCTCTGTGATTTTGAGGGGACTCCCCATGGAAGCAGGGGGATCCTCTAACTCTGCACACTCAGCATGAGGAGGAAGCGGAGGGGGAGAGAGCCTGCCTGCCAGCATCTTGCTTGGCCAAACGAAATGACGTTATCCCCACTCCCTTCCCCTGCAAGGCCTTGGGAGTCAATGACAAGCCAGTCACAAGTTGTCCAGTTGAAAAGCAATCGCCATTTGCCTTCTCTAAACAGAAAGACAACAAGAACAGCAGAGGCAAGAAAATCCAAGTGCATGTAGGGCTGAGAAGAGCCAGAACGGGGGCGTGCCCGCCGAGGCCTGTCTGGCCCAAGTGAGCCGGGAGCTGAGGGAGCTGAACCCCAGGCCCAAAGTCCCCAGCAAACTGTCTTCAGAACCAGGATCCAGACCCAGGCTCAGCACCCCGGGGCGCCTCCTTCGGGGCTGAGGACCCATCTCTGAGCGCTGCTCTGCTGTGGCTCTAAGAGGGCCCTCTCACAGGGCACCCCTGGGTGGGCGACTAAGGGACAGTTTAATGGACCTTCCACAGGCTCCACACCAGTGAGGGCCCCACTTCCGGGAGTCCCTGCAGATGCCAGTCTCTGAGGCAGGCAGCGGTCAGAAGGGCTTCCAGATAAGTATGTCTGCTCACCACAGGCAGTGAGGTGGACGAAGGTCCAGTGAAGGGTCCCCCACCTGCCACTGCCTGTGTGACCCTCTCTACCAGCTGGCTGAGCCCCTCCTCAGTCATGGTAACCAAGCCAGTCCCCAACCTTCCAGAGCTGCACTTGGCTGTGACCTTGAGATCCCAGCCTCCCCAGGATGAAGAATGAGGCCCTGAGTCCAGTCCTGAGGCCCTGACCTTGTCCCATGGCCCTGAGTCTAGACCTGTGGCCCTGACCTTGTCCCATGGCCCTGATCTTGTTCTGTAGCTCCAAGTTCAGTCCTACAGTCCTAACCTTGTCCCGTGGCTCTGACCTTGGCCTGCGGCTCTGGCTCCAGGGCAGGCAGCAGTCCTTCAGTGACCCAGCACTGTGGTTAAGCACCAACTCTTTGGAGTTAAGACTCGTGGAACCCAAATCCTGGCTCTGCCACTTTCCAGCTGAGGAAACCCCTGATGTCTTGACCTCAGTCCGTCCACCAAAATCATCTACAGGTTTGCTCTGAGCATTAAGTAAGAGAAACCATGGTATTGCTCGGATCAGAGGTCCCCTCTCATGCCTGGCTCCTTCACCCATCAGCATCTTCCTTCTTGATGGCCCATCATTTTCTGTCTGCCGGTAGTGTTACCCCCTCCCTTCCCCCCACCTCCTGCAAGGGTATTATTGCTTGACCTCCCCCAAACTCACTGCATCACATAACATGTCAGCCAGGCTTGCTCCTTCCTGGGCAGGTCCCCCACCCTCCATCCATCCACACACCTGCCTCCATCCATCCATCCACACACCTGCCTCCATCCCATCCATCCACCCATGGGTGTGTGGATGGATGGATCCATTACCCAAGTGCAGGGGGATCCATTACCCAAATGCAGGAGGATCCCTTACCCAAGGGCAGGGGGATCCCTTACCCAAGTGCAGGGGGATCCCTTACCCAAGTGCAGGGGGAACCCTTACCCAAGTGCAGGGGGATCAATTACCCAAGGGCAGGGGAATCCCTTACCCAAGGGCAGGGGGGATTCCTTACCCAAGTGCAGGGGGATCCCTTACCCAAGGGCAGGGGGGATCCCTTACCCAAGTGCAGGGGGATCCCTTACCCAAGTGCAGGGGGATCCATTACCCAAGTGCAGGGGGATCCATTACCCAAGTGCAGGGGGATCCATTACCCAAGTGCAGAGGGATCCCTTACCCAAGTGCAGGGGGATCCCTTACCCAAGTGCAGGGGGATCCCTTACCCAAGTGCAGAGGGATCCATTACCCAAGGGCAGGGGAATCCCTTACCCAAGGGCAGGGGGGATTCCTTACCCAAGTGCAGAGGGATCCCTTACCCAAGGGCAGGGGGGATCCCTTACCCAAGTGCAGGGGGATCCCTTACCCAAGTGCAGGGGGATCCCTTACCCAAGTGCAGGGGGATCCATTACCCAAGTGCAGGGGGATCCATTACCCAAGTGCAGAGGGATCCCTTACCCAAGGGCAGGGGGGATCTCTTACCCAAGGGCAGGGGGGATTCCCCCTCCCCCCCGCCCTGCAAGGGTATTATTGCTTGACCTCCCCCAAACTCACTGCATCACATAACATGTCAGTCAGGCTTGCTCCTTCCTGGGCAGGTCCCCCACCTTCCATCCATCCGCACACCTGCCTCCATCTACCATACATCTATTGATACCTCCATCCATTGCACACCTGCCTCCATCCATCCACACACCTGCCTTCATCCAGGTTGTGTGAGTAACGGGCCTCACAGCTAGTAGCTACTGGGATGGGCTCTTGACCGAGCAGAGGGCTGGGCCAGTCACACCCACAGTGAGTGAAGCACAGGCGGGGACCATGCCCGGGGCCGTGGACTGGGGTAGACCCCACAGAGGGGAGCAGCAGCTCCTCTGGAAGCATTTGGTAACCTTACTCAAGGGCAGGAGGGATCCCTTACCCGAAGTCCCCTCGGCCCCTGCACCCCTTACCATTCCATGCCGGCCCTGTTGATCTCCTCCCACCAGCACTCGGTGGGCTCGCCCAGGCTCTGGGTGGTGGGCATGCAGGCGTAGTTCCACTGTCTGTCCGAGCCTTCCTTCTTGCTGAAGATGCTCCTCACTGCCACCACCACCTGCCCGTGGGGACACTGGAAGCTGAAGCCCTGCCGGTTCAGGTTCACCCAGCCATCGTCACTGTAGTCGTGGTACTGCTGGTATGGGTACCCGTAGTCGCCATACTGGCCCTGGGTCATGGCGACCAGCGGCAGAAACACCCACAGAACAGCGAGGCTCATGCTGTCTGGGCTCCTGGCAAGAAGTGTCACCCCGGGTCTGTTGGACCGACCGTTTTATGCAGCTGCCGCTGACATGTGGCTTCCAGATGTGCGGAGCCGGCTCCAAAGGCGATCCGTCATCGTCTAGGCAAAGCTCTGCGCGGCGCTGGCCTCAGTGCATCCAGCGCGTTTTAAGGTGGAATTCTAGGAAAACGTCGGGAACGCACAGATGGAAGGAACTCCTTGGAGAAAGAACAGACCTGCAGATGGATCATAAAAGCGAGTGGCTTCACACTCCTTAGAAACACTCACCTGAGAAAGCAGCGTGTTGGGCCCCTTCCCTCCTCTCTCCTCTCTCTGCCCCTTTGACCCCCCTCCCTCCCTAGCACACCCGGTATTTGTTCTTCCAAGTAGCCTCCCAGGGCCACTAGTGTCTGAAGTACTCTCAAACACCAAGAGGGCTGAGGAAGGGACAGAGCCAGCGATCTGGGCAAGGCTGGAAGCCTGGTTACTGGTGGGCACAGGGCTGTTCTGCTAAAGCCCAAGGCCCCTTCGGAAGGATGTGGGCCCCTGAGAGGCCCATGGAACATTCTCTCTCCACACAAGCCCCTCCCAAGCTGCCGGGCACACCCAGCTCCCCAGGAACTGGGCTCGCTCTCAAATTCTAATGAGTTTAATCTGAGTGAAGCCACTTTTTATCCTTCCGTGTGATTTCTTTTTCTTCACGTTAAGCCTCCCCCACTGAGGTATGATTTATCTGTTTAAATGTTTAGCATACAGTCATGTAACCAGCACCATAATTAACACAGAGAACAGTTCCATCAACTCCCCAAGCCCACGTATGCTCCTCGGTGGTCATATTGTCCCCCCATACCCATACCCCACCCTGGTCACTTCTCATCTACTTCCTGTCACTGTGGTCTTGCCTTTTCCAGAATGTCAAATAAATGGAATTGGACAATATGTAGTCTTTTGTGCCTGACTCATCTCACACAGAAGAATGCGATAGAGATCCATCCACATTGTTGCAGTCAGTTCTTTGTTCCTCCTGTGTTGAATGCGTTGTAACATGGTTGTATCACAAGTGTTAACCGTTTACCTGTTGAAAGACATCTGGGTTTTCCCAGAGTTTGGTAATTATGGATAAGGTTGCTAAAAATATCCATGTACACATTTTTAATACTTAAACTTCATATATTTTTGTTTTACTGAGAAGTAACTGTCATCCATTACTGTATAAGTTTAGGGCATATACATAATGGTTTGATGTATGTAAACTGTGAAATGTCTACCACAATAGTCTTAGCCAACATCTGTCTTCTATCTATCTTCTTTGGTGATTTGGCTGTTCAATCTTTTGAGTTCTTTGGGTGTCTCTTAAGTATGAATCATTTCCATTTTTCATCAGGGTTGTCCTTGAGGAAGTCTACTAATATGGTGGTGGTAGATCATTTACATCTCCCATCTCGAACAATTCAGTTCTTGACTAAATTGTTCATGGAAAAAATGTCGATGTCTCGGTTGTCAAACCAAACTTTGGTTTTCAACCTGACAACACTCTCTTGCTGATACCTCAGCATGACAAAGTGTCTCTCAGGCAACAAACAAAGGAGAGTGCTTTTGTTGCTGGGGAAACCAGTGATTAGCACAATTTTAAAAAACATAGAGACCATCAAGAATACTAATGTTGCTAAGGGTGTGAAAGAAGCAATGATCACGGGCAATGGAAGAGGTAGAAAGACTGTTGACAAAGCAGTGAGCAGGTGACAGCATTTCGGAGGCAGTGATACGTGAACAAGCAAAGACACTGCGTGCTGACCTGAGAGACACCCCTGGACTGAGTGCTGAAAATGAGTCCTGGGAGGCCAGTAGGGTGGTTTGATCAATTTAAGAAAGGAAGTATTTGTTTATAGATTAAACAGTCCACTAGACATGTACTGTATTAAGGAAGGTTAACAGGGAATCCTTTGGGGGCCTGGAACAGTTTAATTCAATTGTATTATTTCTAATGGGGAAAACGGTTTGGCTTTTGAACAAATCGCTTCTCAAACAGCCTTCCTGAACGATTTAAGTTTGAGAACTGAGGTCCATTGTATCTTAAACTTTTAAGAAGCTGGTGAAAGTGCTGATGCTGGGGTTCCCCTCCAGATCTACTAAATCAGACTTCAGAGGGGATGCACAGATGTCTGCAATAAAAAAAAAAATCCTATATAATAAAGAAGGAATATGCTAATTAACCATCACTCTGTCACAAAGATGGCTGAACCCACAACTGAGCCATAAGGAGCCTTAACAAGCAATCAGCAGAGACCCGAGGCTATGCCCTCCCCCACCCCTGTGGGGCTTAATAGGGAACCTCAAGGTGTGGGGGCCTGATGCAACAGGGGCCAGACATGGCGGGGGTCTCCCTTTTCCATGAGAGATGAACGAACCGGTTCTAAGTGGAGGCAGCCAGGGATTGAGAAATAATAGAAATAAAGAGAGAAGGCACAGAGATAGATTTTAAGCTGGGAGCTGGGTGGGCTGCCATCCTGTCTGCTGGAGAGGCTGGAAGAAGATGATTCCCAGCGCATTTATTTTATACCCCAATACCAGGAAGTAACACCAACTTATTTGCTTTCTTAAGTAGGCCCTAGCATGCCTGGATTTACATATCTAGTCCTGCCCCTGCCGACACCTGGGCTGATATGAAGGCCAAGCTGACAACATGTCCGCCATCTTGGGGAAACATGTTCCCAAGGTGTTGCTCTGCCTATGCCTTGAGTTCAGCTGTAGATAATTCGGGAAAATTGCCCATGTGCCTTCCCAGGTGGCCCTCTACATCAAGGTGCGCTTCCCATCCTGGTGCTGGGCTAGGGGACCTCAGGCTGGTCCCCTCGACCCAGTGTCAGGCTGGGGGACCTCAGGCTGCACCCCCTACCAGGGGAGGCTTGATGGGGGACCTCAAGGTGCACCTCCAGGGCTGGGTCAGGCGAACTCAGGCTGTGCCCCCATCCAATGGGGCTTGACAGGGGACCTGAGGCTGTGCCCCTCCACCTTGTGGGGCTTGGTGCAGGACCTCAGCCATGCCCCCAATCCAGCGGGGCTTGACAGAGTATCTCAAGGCATGTCCCATCTTATGGTGCTTGATGAGGGACCTCAAGGCATATCCCCCAGCCCAGACCGGGACTTGACAGGGGATCTCAGGCCATGTCCCACCTGGCAAAGCTTGATGAAGGACCTCAAGGCAAAACGCCCCATCCCCCACCCTGGCACTGGGCCAGGGGACCTGAGGCTACACCTCCTGCCTGTGGCAGGGCTTTACAAGGGTGGGACTGGCTGGGTCTGGATCTAACCCAATGGGGGGGGGGGGCGGCATCCGGGTCTCATGCAATTTTGAAGTGCATGTGGGTGGGTGGGGACTTGACTCTGGGTCCCATAGTGTGCCCAAGACTCTGACAGAAGGAAGATTTTCATATACATTTTACTAATTGTCTTTCATCTCTGACACTTATATTATAGAAAAGGGAAAACAGTAATATTAAATTATTTCCTCTAATTAATCCCCTTTTAATATGCATGAATTTTGTGCACTGGGTCACTAATATATACAACAACTTTCCTATTCATCATTCAGCACTAAGCTATAGTCACCATGCATACATCAAGCATGTCAAACTCGAGTCCCGTGGGTGGCATGCTTTGTTTATTAGGCCCGTGTTAGCCTTTGAGTTTGACATACAGAGTGGCCACCTGTCTGAATGCCGATAAGGTCATTCCCCGAACTCCCATCCCGAGGTCACTTCCCGAACTCCCATCCCGAGGTCATCCCCAAACTCCCATCCCGAGGTCACTCCCCAAACTCCCATCCCGGGGTCATCCCCAAACGCCCATTCCGAGGTCATCCCCAAACTCCCATCCTGAGGTCACTCCCCAAACTCCCATCCCGGGGTCATCCCCAAACGCCCATCCCGAGGTCATCCCCAAACTCCCATCCCGAGGTCATCCCCAAACTCCCATCCCGGGGTCATCCCCCAAACTCCCATCCTGGGGTCACTCCCCAAACTCCCATCCTGGGGTCATTCCTTAAAATCCCATCCTGAGGTCATCCCCAAACGCCCATCCCGAGGTCATCCCCAAACTCCCATCCCGAGGTCACTCCCCAAACTCCCATCCCGAGGTCATCCCCAAACTCCCATCCCGAGGTCATCCCTTAAAATCCCATCCCGGGGTCATCCCCAAACTCCCATTCTGGGGTCACTCCTCAAACTCCCATCCCGAGGTCATCCCCAAACTCCCATCCCGGGGTCACTCCCCAAACTCCCATCCCGAGGTCATCCCCAAACTCCCATCCCGAAGTCATCCCTTAAAATCCCATCCCGGGGTCATCCCCAAACTCCCATTCCGGGGTCACTCCCCAAACTCCCATCCCGGGGTCACTCCCCAAACTCCCATCCTGAGGTCACTCCCCAAACTCCCATCCCGAGGTCATCCCCCAAACTCCCATCCCGAGGTCATCCCCCAAACTCCCATCCCGAGGTCATTCCCCAAACTCCCATCCCGAGGTCATCCCCCAAACTCCCATCCCGAGGTCATCCCCCAAACTCCCATCCCGAGGTCACTCCCCAAACTTCCATCCCAAGGTCATTCCCAAACTCCCATCCCGAGGTCACTCCCCAAACTCCCATCCCGAGGTCATCCCCCAAACTCCCATCCCAAGGTCATCCCCCAAACTCCCATCCCGAGGTCACTCCCCCAAACTCCCACCCCGGGGTCACTCCCCAAACGCCCATCCCGAGGTCACTCCCCAAACGCCCATCCCGAGGTCATCCCCCAAAGTTCCATCCCGGGGTCACTCCCCAAACTCCCATCCCGGGGTCATTCCCAAGTTCCCATCCCAAGGTCATCCCCCAAACTCCCATCCCGAGGTTATCCCCCAAACTCCCATCCCAAGGTCATCCCCCAAACTCCCATCCTGAGGTCACTCCCCAAACGCCCATCCCGAGGTCACTCCCCCAAACTCGCATCCCGGGGTCATTCCTTAAAATCCCATCCCGAGGTCACTCCCCAAACTCCCATCCCAAGCTCGGTC